GCTAAGTTGTGTTTGTCGCAAATAACGATTATTGAGGTTGATTACTTATAACATCCAGACAATTAGGTAACGGCATAACATAGGTTATTGAGCTCACACATAGTAATGAGACGATAGTATTAAGAATAAAATAAAAGACCCAGAAAAAGCTTGTCCACGAGAGAGAGAGAGATATTTCTACTCCCTAGTCATCTTAGCCTGCCTTCTCCTACCCATGTGAAGACTACCGTTAACCTCTCCGTCTCTCGGTTCAGAACAATGCTCAACAACTGCTTTCCATCCTCCCATGTCACTTCCACTAAGAGCCCGCGCCTTCTCTGCTATGCCTTCTCCCCAGATGTGAATAGCAGCCGTTCTGTAACAATTAAAAACAAATCTCTATTAATTACCTATTAATAACCAACTTGAGATATTAATTAAGTTTGCTTGGAAGAGGACATACTTGTGAAGACTACCGTCTTTTTCTTTGGCGATAGTAACACCATCGATCCCTCCACATGAAGAGAAATGTTCACTCAGAGCGCTCCTGACACTCTCCTCAGGAAGCCAAGTGTCATACCCGGAAACCAAAACGACATCCATACGGGGGCCTTGGCGTGATCTCTCGTTGAGTTCGGACCACATAACAGCTCTAAGAGGAGTAAATTTACCGTATCTAGTCCAAGGCAAAGCCTTAACAAGTACCTTGTGTCCTCCCACATCACTTCCATTAAGCTGCAACGCCTTCTCTTTTGCACCTACCCCGGCGATATCAACAAAAGCATATTTGTTGTGAATCTTACTTTGAGCGTGTGCATGAATATGAACTTTTGTGATCTCTCCACACGAAGAGAAATGTTCACTCAACAGGCTCTTGATATTATCCTCAGAAAGAGATTTGTCATATCCCCAAACAATCATCGTAACGCTCCTGAAATATATAATTTGATTGCACGAGATGATATCAACAGTCAACACAAAAGAAGAACACATTTTGTTTTCAGAAAAGACTTAATCAAAAAGAGAAAAGTTTACCTTGTTGGATTGTTCAGTTCCATATCATCCCCAGGCTGTGGTTTGGGATGAAAATTCACCTCTCTCCTGAAATAATTTGATTGCACGAGATATGATATCAACACAAAAGAAGAACACATTTTGTTTTCAGAAAAGACTTAATCAAAAAGAGAAAAGTTTACCTTGTTGGATTGTTCAGTTCCATATCATCCCCAGGCTGTGGTTTGGGATGAAAATTCACCTCTCTCCTGAAATAATTTGATTGCACGAGATATGATATCAACACAAAAGAAGAACACATCTTTTTCAGAATAATGACTCAATAAAAAAAGAAAGAAAAGTTTACTTTCTTCTGGAAGAAGCATTGTCTGCATCACTACCGTTCAATTCCATACCCTAGATCACAAAAAATCTAATCAGAAATTCTACTATTTTTCTTAACCATAAATCAATAGAGAACCAAAAAAGAGTGAACGAGCAACAAAAACAACAAAGAAGAAGAAGAAGATTACTTCGATTTGATGGCGGATTCGAGAAAAAGGGATTTAGGTCTTTTCTCTGCTTTGGGGACGGCCAACAATAATTTCGTGTATGTATATTTATGCAAAGAACAAACAAACGATTGGGCCTTAAAACATTTTCGGGCCTCGACTTAGTAAAGCCCCATATAAGTCCTACAATTTTCCCTAAGTGATTACCCGCTTATATTTTTTCATTCATAAATTTTGCCAATAAATTGTATATAATTCAGAAGTATATATGAAAATCACTTTGTCAAAGCAGAAACCGTTCACATAAATTTTAAAATCCATAATATATACACTTCACCATATCACATTATATTATTTCCAAAGAGATTTTTTTAAAAGCTATGATTTCTTTTTTTTTAAAAGTTTTTTAATAGCTATGGTTAAGGAAATGTAGTTTGTTGCACTTGAACAAATGTTTTCTTTTTATAATTAAAATGGACATGAGTTGAGTCGAGGCGATCTTGTATCTTCCAAATAAACCCGAGAGAAGTCGTCGAGGCATGACACACGTTAAATTGATTAATATCATTACTATGAATGATGATGCAAAACTTTATATGATGGTTACATTAATTTAGTGATAAATTGGATGATTTTGTTATCGTGAATGTTCATCTTTATCAAATCTGTATAACTACTAAAGGTATAGGAATTTGCTTTATGTATTTTAATATTTGGTTAATTAAGTGAATATTATACTTTGGATATGTAATTAGGTGAGTAACATGTATGGAATATAAATTAGGTGAATAACGAATTGTTGATTTAATTTGACAAAAATGCCCTTAATTACATTATAATGGAAAGCGGTGAATAACATAATATTTTTTTCTGGGTTAATTAGGTAAGTCTAAAAAAATCTCTAAAATTTTGTTCTCAATCAAAGGGAATCTAGTCAACCGTGAAAATCCCAATCTCAATAACCAAACCAGGATTGACCTTGTATAAACAGTAATTGAAAGCAAAATTCAGTATGTATAGTTAACTATATTCGGGGCTTTTTATGTTGTTATAGTTAGCTAAAATAATCAAAATAGTGAACTATTTATTTCAAATAATAATATAGTTTACTGTACAACATTAGTTAGCTATTGAAATAATAATATTGTTAACTATATAAACATTACAATAATCAATTCAGTTAATTATATGTTTGTCTATATAGTTAACTATTATCTCATCTATAGTGATCAAAATACGAATAGTTAGCTATTATCTCATAAACGGTGATCAAAATCGTTCACCATATAATGTTTATCAGCTCGCTATTCAAATAATAATATAGTTTACTATGTAAACATTAGTTAACTATTGAAATAATAATATAGTTCACTGTATAAACATTACAATTATCAATTCACTTGTATTTTTTTTTGTATATGTGTATCAATATCAAATCTTCAACAATCGGATCTTCACACCAGAAGAAACCATTACAAAACCCCTCTCTGATGCAAGAGAATGGTCCCTAGCACAGGAAGAAACGACGCCACAATCGCCGCGATTCTCTGAACCGATATGTGAGTTAACAACCAGAAACGATCTGGTTTGTCTCACCGACGCAGCCTGGAGAAACGATTCAAACTTCGCAGGATTAGCTTGGGTTATGCGGAACAAAGAAAACCAAATTATAGCCCAGGAATCAAAGATTATGGACCATATCGACTCACCTCTCATGGCCGAAGCCATGGCAGTTCGGGAAGCTCTGCTTCACGCAAAAGGATCCGGGATTTCTCGATTCCGAGTGGCATCGGATGCGNAAAATCTGATCCATCTGATCAATTCGAAGACTCCGAAGCCGGAGATCTACGGAATTTTGGAAGATATCCATCGTTTATCTCTTTTTTTAGAAATCAAATCCTTTGTATTTGTCAAAAGATCGAAGAACATGGAGGCTGATACATTAGCAAAGGCAGCTCTCTTCAATGTAACAAATGTCCCCCGGTTTAACCCGGTTTGAATGAAATCAATTACACCTTTTGACCAAAAAAACAAAAAATGTGTATCAATATCGTTAATCAATATAGTTAGCTATTATCTCACCATTTACCTTCTTATTGATTAGTTTGCGACCAAAATGAAACAATAGATTAGGTAAATTAGAATCTATCTTCAGAGAAAAGAAGAAGTATGAAGAAAAAGAGATATATTGCGAATTCGGTAAGAATTTTT